AAAAAAAACAAAGATGGTACACCGCATTCGTGTGAACTTGGTTGATGTTGATCTCCCATTCTCTCAAGTATTAGAGAAAACCTGGGGAAGAGTGAACTGTAGCCCTGACACTAGTGCTTTACGATGGACGACGATGCTCCTTCACGATGAAAAGTGTGCCAACTCGCTCTCGTATGGTGCAAACATCTTGACCATCCCAGCCTCCCAGGGATCTTGTATTTCTCACTCAGATTTATCAAATCGTGAACGCCCAGTATACTGGCACTATTTTACATATCTCCATAGTTCCAAAGGGTTTGCCATTGGCGGTTGCCACAAGTGATACTCCGACATCTGATTTTGGCTTTCACGATCCCCCTCTGGGCCCGCTTCCACCTCATAATCACTTGAATCCGACATCATCATCAAAGAAGGGACTTAAAGGAATATTTTGCAAAAAGGGAAAAAATGTCGCTCGTGGAAAGAATTTAAAAAATTTTCGAAGTTAAAAAATGAGGTACAAAAGGCTTGGAGGATCCACTATTTATTGAAGGCGCTCTCTAGCCTTCCAATCATTGTGTCCTATTTCATTAGGGTGCTAAACCCAAGAGGGCGTGTCTGCAGCTGCAGCTGAAAAGACATACCTTAATACTAGCAAAATACCACATTTTATTCAATATTTCACATGAATGGACATCTTATTCGTCTCGTCCACTGCCAACATAACTGATGCCTTGATCGGCAAAACCCCTAAGCGAGTATGAGATAGCTTCTCATGCGTTTTGGTGATCCTCTCTACACTTGAGAACCTGGGGGTTTGCATGTTATACCTAAATTTTTAAGAACAATGGGTTGTTCGAACACGATCAAACCAAATGAGTGTTAAGCCTGCAAGCCCAAACGAAACTGGCCCAAGGAATGACCACAAATTATGTCGATTTTCTTGATCGGCAAACGACCTCTAATGTTGATCTCATCACGAGTCTTCCTCCGAAAAGATTGACGATCTCTCTGTTGTTTGAATATGGAACTGTTAAAGCTAATAAAGCCCCTGTCCCGATCTCTCAACTAGTCACATCCTGAAAAGTCGAGTTTTGTATGGATACTCACGACAAAACACTACGCCTTTAGTTGGCCTATGCATTTATTACACCACTATCTTTTTCTTGTATAAATCCAACCATCTCGGCTCAAAGAGAGAACATGAGAGAAACGAAGAGATGAGAGAACGAGAGCATAATAACACAATTACGACCATATGTAAAACATTCATCACAAAAATTCCTATTGTAGTTTCCCTGAGAATTCATTATCCTCGTCGATTTCCACAGCATACCTGCGATATTGGTGTTCTTTTATTTCCTTGCTTGCATTTCAGTAAAATTTCATTTTATTCTGTTAAAAATTTTCACCAAACTTTACTAATGACTTCATAACCTCTTGAATTAACCGCTCCATAATAATTACAATTCATAATACTCATTCTTACAGTTTCACCAAAACATCTATTTCTACAAAAATATATAAAAAAATAAATATCCGTTCAAATCGAAAACTTCCTCTCCAGTCACAACCACCGGCGACCTGACCCCAGCACCGCCGAACAGAGGCAAAGCTACACTTGCTAGCTGGGGTCAGCTGACCCCTATAGATTTCAAAATTTTTAGTATAAAATACTGTTCAAACACTGTTTACTAGGTTAATGACCCCACTAAAAAATATTGCTGACACCGGTGAATGATGAGGCTGGCTCCGCCCCTGCCGCCGAACAAAAACCCCGAAAAAAAAAAACTCAATTCATCGACATTGCGGAAAGCCTGCTGGGTCCCGGCCGGAAATCGCCCCGCCGGCGCTGGTGGCAGGAAGAGGGGCGGATCAGAGCCGCCAGACCCCCCTTCGCAGCACCCAATCTCGCGAGGGAATTCACGACGGCGGACCGCCTCATACTCAGCCCACCGGAGCCCCCGCACGTCGCCGCTTTCGCTCCGCCGGCGACGCCCTTGTGCAGGCTGCACCGGAACGAGCCTGGGTGGTTTGTGGGTGAGCACATACACGTCCTCCTCTGAGGCTTGTCCGACCGGGTCGAAGGTGAAACGACGCGGTTCGAGTGAACCGGCCGGTCCAAAGCGAAGAAGTTGAATGGCCGGGAAGGGCGGTTGTCGTCTAGGTTCCCGCGGGCGGGGGAGGACGGCGGCGATTGGGCGGAGATGTGGCGGCTCAGCCCTGATGAAGGGGAAATGGACCGGATTACCGGCCCGCTAGATCTACGAACCACGAAAGCTGCCATTTTTTCCTTTCTTTTATTTAGTGAGAGTAGAATAATAGGAAGACTTTATGAGGATTTAAATTGGCAAACTGGACTTTACAATAACTACGTATTTATAGCCCACAAATAAATTAGCACACCGATTTGCTTTTTTTTTTTTTTTTTTCAATAATAAATTGTGATTCTTTTCTTATAATTGCATTGTGGTCCTTCGTTTTATAAAATATGATAGAAGGACCCAATATAATATTGAGGAGAGAATGGCTTCTTTTTCCAAGTAGGTCCATGCGAATTGCGCGTTTGAATTATTGTGACTTGTGAGGCGCATAATTTTTTGACTCGATTTTATTGTAAGTTTTATACTAAACTTGATTTAAATCAAAGATTGATATTATTTTAATATGAATTAATATTTCAATCAATGAATTACCATATATTAAATTTTATTTAGTATTCACCACTACTAAAAGCCTAGTATTAACGATTCTCTCAACAAGAAATCTACTGTCCGTTTGTAATTGACGTCGCATGATTCACGATAAATCACCATATTTTAAAAGATAATGTAAAATTATCACTTCATGTATTAAAAAAAAAAAAA